CTAGATGATGTCATGAAATCCATCGAAATAACAAAGCTCACAATGAAGTCAGACACAGCTAGACTCATGACGAGATAAGTCGATGAATTCCTAAAACACTTTAAAGGATCCTTTATAAAGCAGACAAACAGAAGCAAATGCGATGCAATGCCAGCGTAAAGTGTTAAATTGATTGAGAGATACCTTAAATCGTATTTGTCCATGTTTAGTTCGAGTTTCGGCGACGGGAGAGAATAGGATCTAAATTAAAACATGCACCTGCGGCCTGCGAAAGTTTGATAACTCTCTCAGTTAATAAAGTGAATTTTTTTTTAATAAAATCAATATTACTAAAAAGTGTGTCAAAATATCTATTTACTGATCTCATCAGTTCGGGTATATTGGCCGCGAATATTTAGTTCCTTTCATACAAAAGAGCAGGTAAAATTATGCATACGATTGTTTTACCAATTTTTCAAATCTTGCCTGGCTTTTGGAACATTGTAACCGAAATCAATGAGCTGGTAGCCTGGTTAATCTTGGATTAACATTTCTTAGCTATTTCTTCTTAATATATGTGTGGTTTTGAGGACCCCACACACAACTACTCTTAGATCGCTATGTGGTTTAATGGAGTAAACTAAATTTCCATTGCCAATACCCTTCAAAAAACAGGAGGATACCTTTTTGTAATTTTGTTCTCGAAGGATACCTTTCTTCAATCATCCTCAAGTAAACAATTATAGTGAACTAGCTACTATAGTCTGTTCTCTAACACAGAACCGATACGCACGCTGGTTTTACAATTTTATTGAACAGATTTCCGAAAAATAACAATATACTAAATAAAATACTAAACAGAAGTTCGGGACATAAAGAAAAAACTATTCAAGTCTCCGCCAAAAAAAGCAACTAAAATCTTGGGATGCGCGGATGTCCCAACACAGACAAATGCTAATTAGCTAATAAAAAATTTGTGAGGTTCCAAAACACTATATTTAAGATTAACTGTTTGAAGACTGTCAATAAATTTCAATCTACGTGCCTCCGTTTGTATTCGGCTTGATGTAAATGTTGTCAAACAGAGATTTTTTGTTCTAATTTTAGTCAAAAAACTTCCTATTTCATGAAACGCGTTTTCATCACAAATTGTTCTTTGGTATCGTTTGTTCTTTGGCCATGATTGGACAGTTTAATTCAGTTTCAAATTATGAGCCCCATTCCTCGATTCCCCAACTTCTCGTTTTCCCAATTCTCCGATTCTCCAATTCCCCCTTTTAAAGATAGCCGTAATCTACATGTAATGTTTCTGAGATGAAGAATAATACTGAGAATCTGGAAAGAATGAAACGGAAATTCACCACAATACATCATTATATATGACACATGCGCTAAATGCCGGACGTCGAAAACATCAAGGTCTTAAAGTGTACTTATTAAACGTTTTGGTTATGTTAATATTTTCTCGAATATTGATTTGGCGAACATCAAGTCGGTCACTATATAGGTTGTCCAGTGTTCATTCGCTCCAGGCCGTGTGCAGGTAGGTAGATTTGTAAAGATCGGCGTCTATATGCAATCGGTGCATTGATTAAATTACTTTGATTGACAAACGTCAGGAAAGTGTTAACATGTAAGGTCCGTTTTCTAGTTAAGTCGAGAGAATGCCTTTAACACGGGTATCCATTTTAAAGGTTAACAGTTTCACCTCAAATCGTTTAAATAGCATTATTTTACAGTTGCAAGAAAAATATGGTATTCACAAATGCGGTAGTGACATTGCTGGTTATCTATATAATTCTGTTGACTGCTGGAAGCATTCAGGCCCACGACGCCAAAATTAATGATGTATATGATTGGAATAAACAGGTATGTTTGAAATATATACAGAATATGCCATTCAAATTATTTGAAAGGTTAAAAATGGCCCGATGAACACATCGCATTCTCTGAATTCCCCAAAGCCTCTCGCGTCCATATTTAAAACCCCGTCAAATTATTTGAAAAATAGTACTGACATTCAGTGCAAGTAGAGCAAAACAGTTGGAAATAATCCGCAAACTGATAGTATCATGAATACATACAATTATTAAGCTAGCTAGGCCTATTAGATCACGACGTGCAATTATTCATGAAAAGGAATCACGTCCTTTTCCTTTCAACTGATGAAAGGAAATATAATTTTGTTCCTTCCTTAATTTCTTGAATAGTTTGATGAGTTCACGTCATTTCTTTTACTTTTGTTATTCTATATCTTAAATTATCAGAGACCTTTGTTACGTTAGTTGTACGTCCGGTGTGACTGAATGCGAAAGTAATTTTAAGATCGCTCTAGCTACTCGTAGCTATAGCCGTCTAAATTCACCATCAAATAAATCAACAAAGACACCGGGATTATAACTCGGCGAATATATAGATAAGTCAAACTGTTTAAATTTGCAGCATGTGAATATCGTTCCGCCATTTTGTTTAATTGGACATGTAGCCTATACTGAAGTAGAATCAATGAAATTGATATACAACATTTTTACGATAATGATTCGCGTACCGACGGTGACTCTATATTTATGGGAAGTCAAAAAACCACCAATCCTGAAGATCCACAAAATCAGAATTGCGGAACCACCGACGGCTCGCAAAAAACCCGTTTATTTTATAAATATTTCGAAAATACTTCAATTTAGCATTTAATGCGAAATTCTCTTCTCCTGACAGGTCAAGAAAGATGGTCGAAAAAAAAGTCCGAATAAAAGAAAGTTGGACGATAGAAATATTCGCCCTGATCCCACATGCGTATGGTAAGCTTTTGATGACAGTTTAATAGCTTAACCTATACAACGTAGCATATAGTAGGATGTTTGCATGTGGTTTTGCTGTCGTACAAGACAATTACGCATGTTTGCTTTAAAAACTCCTGGTTTAAGTAATTCCATGAATTGAGTTGTTTAATAATAATTGGGCGGTATAGAGTTTCACGTACGTTGGACGTCGCTCATTCAAACAGAAAAGATTCAACGTACAAAAATGGGAATAATAGACCTATAGTCTAGATTGCTGACTTATATATTTATACATATTTAGCTCGCAATAACGCGCTGAAACTGATTGAGCGACATTTTTTGGCATCTATCCGTGCATCGAAGATTATTCCTATGCAAATATCTATACGTTATTTAAAACTTCACTTTGAAAAAATGTTTTGCATGATTTTGGAAGCGCTAGATTCGTATCCGCACTTCGTCTAAGACTCCAACCCTGTTGTGGCCTCTATAAGTCTTTCGAAGGTTTCTTTTGAACATGGCGAACTATTATAATTATCTGGATCGTTATATATTCACTATGAACTATTCTTATCGTTTATGTTTCGTGTTTAATTCTGTCATCAATGTACAATGTTTCTTCTAAATTTCTAGGAAATTTTGCAAGAGTACTGGCCAAATTCTCTGCGTGCTGGACCCTAGCGCAGATTGTTAACTTTGAATTTTCATGCCGCTGCCTGCATGCAAGTTGATGTTACAATCCGTAGCTGATTGATTGATATTTGATACCTAATATAATGTAGTTTTGTGAAACTGTAATGAATTTATATTTTTTAAAATAGTTTAGGCCAATAAATTAAACGATTATCTCGCAAAAGAGGTATAAATTTGCATTCAATAAGCTATTGTCTGTTATTAGGGTTATTTATACAGGAAATGCCAACGAAGACAAAATCACGACTTTAACCTGCTGTAATTCATCACATGAATATTGAGTGCAATGATTTTTAATTAGCAAGAAAAAAGAGTTATTTTGCTTTCTAGCAATATCTTTTTCAGTATGCGATGTATCCGAAGCGACATTTTACTTTTGTTTCAGAGCTCTCAACTGCAACCATCTGGAACAAATTGCTCAAATACAAAGGAATAAAGTCGCTTCGCGCGAAAAATATCGCTAGTTGAAAACCGGCTTTTACTCGTGCATAAAAATCGTGCGCTCTCGCCAACCATGAATAATATACATATATATTACTGGCGTACGATTTATATATACGTAATATTCAAACTATTACAATTTTGCATCTGTACAGAGCGATGTTGTCCAGAGATATTTCATTTGTAAAATTGTTCAAGACGGAATTAATGTGTTATGACGACGGAGCGCTTAGGGGGCGCATAAACTATTAAATACAGCGGGTATGCTGATCAAAATACAACTGAGCTTAGTGGAACGCTGTTCAGTGTTAGAATCCAGAGAGTACAGAGAGTATTTTTTAATTGTAGCAGCTCAAATTGAGTGAGAAAACAAAGGGCTTGTAACCGCTTGTTAACATTACGGACATCATATTTATATACCACCGATATTCTCTTATGTTCCAGTCAATTCAACACTCAGCTTTCTTTCATGTAATCAACACATAGCTGTAATTATTTTTAAACTGTTTTAGAGATTTTTAAATTGCCTATTTTTAGAAAACCTTGAAGATTCCTCATATTTCTTTATAATTCCTAGAGATTGGTAGTATTACTACAAGGCTATGAGACTATTTCAATTGTCTGCTGTGTCAATTGTTTTATTAATATTTCGTTCAGTTCAGTTCCAAAGCTATTCAGTTCACTAGTAGTAGTACCATAGGCGGCCCAAAATTGGCGGCCGAAAATTTTTTTGGCAATTTGTCAATGTAATGTATAATAATGTGGTAGTACCGAGCACGAATATTGCCATTTTTATACATATATACAGCTGCAGTAATTTGGAAATCGGCTGGAAAATCAATCTAACCGTTTAATTATCTTACACGCAGTATTTTTTAAACTTTCAGATGATATAAGCCTTTTTTGTAGTTATTCAAGCCTTGTATAATTGAATACAAAAAAAAGAAAAACCTTTTGGCAGGCGCCTACAAGTAATTTGAAAATGTCTGATCTAATACAAATAAATATGTTTAGTGAAAAAATTCTCAAAAATATTCCTTTTCCTGAGGATCTAATTTTCATGCGGTGCTTCCACTGAGCCCGCAATATAAATTCACTTGGGGTCTTGGCGGTTTTACGAACATTATTATATATACTTTTAATAAATCTTTACATTTCTTTCCTTGATTCTTTTTTCGAAGTTTTATGGCTTGTGCTGCTGATAAGGTTTGTAATCTTTTAGAATCGATATATTTTTGTGGGTACGAATCTAGACGAATTCTCAAATTTTAACCTGCAAAATTTCCTAAACAACGTGGTTATTAATATTATAAAGTATGTGTTTATAAACAGTGGTGTAAATTTTGAATCAACGTCTTTTCCTAGTATAATCGTATTTTCTGGTTGTAGGTGAAAGAGTACCGCGATGAATTTACAGATAAGGTAATTATTTTGTTCATAATTTTTCACAATTTAATCACTCCAAACGTCTGATCAATTTTTATAATAATGGTATACTGTACATGCCTTCTATAATAAAAAGGAAATACTGCAATTTTTACTAGGCATTGAGCAGTGCAATTAATCATTAATTTGTAGCATTTCATGAGGTGTAATTCATCCTTCCCTTGGTCAATAAAAATCAATCACTTTATTAATGCAATAATACATCTTTGTGATTGTATTGCAACTGTGTGATCTGCATTCAGGATGCAAACCATTATAACATTTTCCTTCTTTCTGGGACATACTTCCTCATAGAACATACATATGTATGCTCTTAATTTCAAATCATACCTGAGGTGACTATCAAGTTTGTAATTTCTCATATGAAAACTTGCCTTTACAAAGGCAAGTTTACATTTTCATCTGGTTGCCCCTGCCAAAAAAGTAGAAATATACAGTTGCACAACAACAGCATTAGTCAATTTACTCATTGCTTTTTTTAGACAGAAAAATTGATAAAGGAAGTTTTTCCTACTAAAGTTGTTCTCCTCAATGAGTTTTTGGTGTGTATATATTTAATTGTCTGTATACATTATTGTTAATTCTGCTGCAGTACAGATAATAATTTCTCCAAAATGAACAGAATGGGGTATGACAACTCCCTAAATGTATATGTACCACGTTTGATTTACAAAATACTTGCTTACCAAAAACTGTCCACTACAGTCTGTTTCATTCATATCGGGATCCTCAGGTCTATTTGGATGAAACAGACAGTAGTGGACCTTTTTGGTGAGCAATACTTCTATATACATATACATATAATTCAAAGCTTCCACAATTCAGGGAAATTTCCATTGAAATGACAACTGCAAAGTACATATGCATTCTGTTCAAAAGTTCTTTGTTTCCCTCTTTTGTCATTTCTATCTCCCTATGAGGAAAGTCACATGCAAATAAGTTGTCAGAAGACCTGATAAAACAGACTGTGGTGGATGATTTTTGGTAAGCATATATATTATGTTTTATTTTTTTCTTTGCAACAGAAAGACAAATTCAACATTGAAGATCTAAAGAAAATTGATGGTGATTTGAATGTGCCAATGGTACATCCCCTGGTCTTGGCAAATGATTTTCAGGTACATATTATTTAGAATGGTGCATGATTGCACTAAGTGGAGTTTAGTTTTGTGTGGAATTTAGTGTGTGACTGCAATAAGCACTGCTGCGAAGTGGAAGTGATAATTTATAATTGCACATATGATGGCCTGTAATAGTTTGAAATTTTACTTTATAATGTTCATTTTGAAATTACAATGTTGTGGCTATCAAGGCGAAAGTCAGATAGAATACTATCAAAATCACTGTAATATAAAAGTTGTGCTTTTGCTCAAGATTTCATTTTCAGTTGTAATAGCACAATCACATGTACACAATAGTATGCAATAAAATGGTAAATAGATTTCATTGATTAAAAACACAAATTGAATATTGATCAGACTCAGGTTAAAACAAACGATTATACACGTTTAATCTGACTCCTGATAAATGAAATCTCATGCATAACGTTAAAGATTGTGCTACATCAAGCCACGACACATGCTCATATGCTTTTGTGGCCCGTCCTCACAATGCCATATGAATATTCTTACGGTTACGCCTACCGTCCACACCGACACGTGTCCGGCGTTTTCGCCCACTGAAAACGGAAGAATCTGAAAACGCTCTCCAGAGTGGAAGAATTGAAAACGATGGCTGAGCGGATACGTGTGGACGGTTTTGCCGGAAAACGATGGCGTCACGCGTCGAATCGTTTCCATATTAATACACAGATTATATACACAGATTTTGCAGTGTAAATCTGATTAGAATAGAACATATTTACCTGAATTACCTGAAGGCCAAACAGAATATTTCGGGTTTTTTCGAAACATATTTTGAGATCTAAAACTCCTATCATCTTTAAAAAATATTTCTCCCCGGAGTTCTGATAAATATTCCGTCTATCGCAACTACGATCAGGGTCCAGAACAGAACGTCAAATACACATGCATCCTGCCGAGTTGGCGTTCGAAATGAAAGTATGAAACTAAAATTATCATGATCAACTAAAAATATCCAGCCAATAGGAAAGAAGAATTTTTTGTATGAACCAATCAGACAGCTAGCTGCATGAGAGTGATAAAAAAAAGGGTTTCAGTAATGTTTCCAGTAATGTTTGATTTAGCGTTGTACCACAGCATGTAAACAGCTTTTGCATGGTCGTGTGACGTGTTGGTTTTCTAAAACAAGGAGGAATTTCGTTTTAAAATCGGCAAAATTATCAATTTTTTTTACAATTGGAATATTTGGTAACATTTTTCTGGCAAGGCCAATCATAATGCGCATGCAAATTTTTAATACTTCATGTAAAACGGTAAATAATGAACCTGAATTGTTATTGTATAATTATAAGGTTTCACTAAACTTTTTCAGTTAAAAATGATGCATTGTTTTGTTCTTGTTTTTATCAAATGCCGACCACGATACCAAAGCGAATTCATTCATTTCTTGTGTTCCCTTGCAATATAATAAACTTCTTGCTTATACTCGGACTTTACCGAGAAGTATTGGACTTCGGTCATTTGTACAAATCTCCCTACGGGCTTGGTCTGTACAAAAATACCTCAATCGGTTTGATATTTCTCGGTAAAGGCTTCCCGCTCAGTTGATACGAAGTGAGTCCAATACCTCCATTTCGTTTCCATTCCATACACCTCCAATACCTTCATCTCTTTTCCATAGTATTCCATTAACTGTGGTTCAGTGAATGACTAAATCTAGTTATATGGCGAAGTATGGCAAAACTGTTGTTTTTTTCAGCCTTCACCAAAGAAGAGAAAGATTGAGGGAGAAGAACCTGTGAATAATATTGTTGTGCAGAATGGTAAGGTTTCTCTACCCATATTAAAGATAAATGAAATTCCATATCTTATACTTCGTTAGACCATGTAGTCCCTGCTCTAAATAATTGTGAGGTTTTGGAAAGCAATTGAGAAATTGGTCACAATGGTTCACATGCATGGATTGCGTATAACTCAATATTGCAGTATTTGATTCCCTTTTGACGACCTTTGATTAACTCATTTTGATCGCCATAATATTGTCTATTAAAATTTGTTAAACAGTCTTAAAAAGTTATTTTTAACAAAATAGAATGTAACTTGTGACTTGCACTATATCATGGCCAGAAAATTCGGACATAATTAACATTCTACTTCCGCCTAAATTTGCATATGGTGTCAAAATAAAGCTTCGTGAGTTTATAGTAAACTGTAATGTGCACAGTACTAAACGCTAAAAATACACCTTTAGGTAGGTCAATTATAATTTGCCTTAATTACTCGTTGCAGAGCAAGTTAATCTTAATATTTTTATATAGTATTTCAAAATATTTTATCAGTATTCGTCCTGCATTTTCAAAAAAAAGTTTGATTATTTATCACGTTGAATACCATATAAAACAAAAACCGTAATAGCGTAGAAATAAAATAAAAATGCAGAGCCAACATAAACCTTTACCAGCAAAATATTACCTCAGGATCTTTAATATGACACGAATTACAAGAAACAACCAGGGCAAATTGCAAAGATGCAATGATTTTCTTAAATTTTGCGAAATTTAAGAATGCGCAATATAATTTATAGTTCTGCAAACGAATAATATTTGAACAGATATGCAAATTTGCTACGGCAATCTGCATATTCGATGTCCGCAATTTCTGGCCATGTTTTCTTGACTCCTCTTGCATTTAATGAAACATAGCTACAAAAGATACAATGAGTTTTTAATAGAATTAAAAAGTAAACACAGTGTAATAAATAAATTGTATAAGTAAATTCGCTTGCAGGTACACCAAGAATATTAAATTGAAATATGTTTGCCTTTTATGTTTTGCAGGACCTCTCAAAGCAATTCCTCCAAACAAGGTGGGCTGTAGTAGCTATAGTTTTTTTGTGTGACCCCATCCGCTGAAATTTTTAGTTATTTATGATGGTAGTCTATATATGATAAAGTCTTCCACCACAAGCTAACTCATAATTTTTAATCGTGATCGTGGAAGGTTCACGGTCAGGGACCGCGGAGCAGGGTGGCTCGCTGGTCTTTAACAATACCAATAATTTTTCCGTAATTAGTCTTTAATGTCGAATATTTTTTAGTTCGCTCAAATTTACAAGCAATATTTTTAGCAATTTGTATTTTTTGCTTACAAGTATATGCAGTGTATCTTATCTTGAATGCTATTGTAACTTTTACTTCTTCAACGAATATTTTAATAACTAATTCAAAGAAATGAGTATTCTAATTTCCAACCATATATGTCATAATAAATCCGCCATGTTTACAAATGGATTGAAATTAGTTATGTTCAGTACATATGTTTGGCCAAAATAAAAAAAAAACAGAGTCAGAAACGACAAGCACTTGACCATTAAAACAGCGTGGTTATCCATGTCAAAATATTTGACATCATAACCAAAGCACGGTTATATTGTTTAATGTTTGTATATAAGCATGAAACATGCTGGAAACTTTACATAGGAAAACATTTGACCATTAAAACAGCGTGGTTATCAATGTCAAAATATTTGACATCATAAGCAAAGCATGGTTATATTGTTTAATGTTTGTATACGAGCACCAAACATGCTGGAAAATTTACAAAGTATCTACTATTTCCCAATAATGAGAGGCATTTGCGGCCATTTCAGAGGCCTCTGTATATTTCAAAATTTTCCCTGACAGGTGCGCGGTTCCAAGCCCCAGCAATACGAAAAACGCTTCGCGGTCCCTGACGGTAGCACCAAATTGCCTGACCAAACTGTTTAGCATCTATAATATCTATTAGGACGATATTGCTTATTTATGTCCGAGCTCAGTTTTTGCGACGGAACTGAAAGTAGAATGCGGTGCTACGAAAGATATTACATGACGTTTCAAATAGCTAAAATTCAATGAACTACGTGGGAGTAAAAACAAAACGAAGCTGACTCCAACATTTTGTTTCTCAGATTCTTGTGGAACTTATTGAATCATTGAAACCAGAAATTCAAGATTTGATGGAGAGTTGTAATTCAGTAAGATTTTATTTTATTATAAAATTTTGAAGTAATTTCTCCGATAGACCTGTAGACTAGTGAAGGTGGGGTATCCAGTCCCTAAAATGTAACATTGTATACATTTTGAATCAATATTTCTTAAAATATCAAGAACAATCAGAATATTTAACATTTTTTTGGTTCGCTATGTTTATGAATAAACATGAACATAAGACGGAGTTTATGCTAATTTATGTTTAAAATAGAAAAAACATGCTAGATTTCAGCAATTTAAAATGAAGTAGCCAACCATTGTAATAGGCAGAATCAATGGGCAGAGCGCAGAAGCTAACGTAACGCCTCTTTAATGCATGAGAAAAGCTTAAAAGTTGACCATAATTACAATCCGGTTTTTCCAACAAAATTATGCTGATTTCTTTATGCTGGTTGCCACTTGACTCAGTGACGTAACTTCATTTTAAAGAAGGTTTTGAAATCCTACCGGAGGAAGGTTGAACTCTTTTTGCAACTCTGGGGCTCATGAATGTCTAAAATTTAATGAGGCATGCAGTAGCTCAAATAATAATTAAGGAAACTGACATTCCAGGAAACCACCGACCAGTAAAATTTTCTGGGAATAGACAGATATGTAAAGATTTTAGTAGATTTCATAAACGTGACAGCTTATGTTAAATGGATATTCGATTTGCCTTATGTAGGTTAAAACTTGGATTCAACTGCTAATTCCACGGATTGAAGATGGAAACAATTTTGGAGTTTCTATTCAAGTAACGTCCAGACCTATGATTTACATATTATTTTCGCAAGAATCTATAATGTTTTTCCTTTACAATGAAAGTTGCGTTGATGAAAGTTTCGATTCAAGCAATTTCAAAAAACGAACTCACTTGAAAATGGGGCAATGCATTTATACATTGGGCTAGAAAAGAATTGTTTAGTTTTGTATCATAATGACTAGAAATAAAGTACCGTACAAATTATACGGTTAGTTTATTGTGTGCCAAGGTTTAAACGCCGTATCATGATTAGGACATTTCCACTAATTCAATCACTAAAATCTTTTGCCTGATTCGTGATATACATTCTACCTCTCCTGGTTAGGAAGACGTCCTCGGCGAGGTCACACGAATTGAGGCCGAAGCAGCATCATTTTTGGACCAAATCTCGAGGTAAAAGCAATTTATGGTCGTTGATTTGGTGGTGAAAATCACATCAGTTTCGAATTTGTTAAAATCCAACTAAATAAAAACGTTCATTCGATTACTAAGATGGTTTATGTCATTTATATATTTCATTCACTTTTTAATAAGTATTGGTAATCGTAATAATCGTTGTACAATTCGGGGTTAATAGTACGAGTGATGTTTGAATATTGTGCCAAAAATGGACGAGTCGCTTGTTTATTATGAGCATTATAATAAAATCGTTCAACTTTCGTAGCGTTTCATCGCGTTTCATTTGCGGCGTAGTTTTCAATGCGAACACGACAGTTGTGACAGTCGTTTTAGTGTTGTAAAAGTACAGTCCTGTCTGACTTTTATCCATTATTTTGTACAATTTATGTACACATCTTAGTACGCTAAAAAGAATACAGTAAACAATATATAAAGTATTTGCTTTTTTGGGGGGAGGGTTATCATGGAAAATATTTTTTAAAGTGTCCAAAACATTTTTACTTTAAATATATCAATAAATCACTACAAGTCATATTTTTAGCCATCTTCAGCATTATTTTGTTTTGTTTCAGGTATTTTATCACACGAGGGAAGGTTGTTTCTAAAGTCGTCAAATATCCTCATATTGTAAGTGCATATGTATAAATTATCATCGGCTGAATGTTTGTGCGTCGCGAGATTGAGTCGATTGACCCGTAGGATTTTGGGGAGCTGCATGCAAAAAGAAATCGATTTGCAAACGTTTTGGAACCGTGTTGAGCTTCTGATTCCTTTAGCTCTGTTAGCGATAATGTTTAATTCGGTTTTTGCCAGATGGACTACAGAAGAACCGTGATAGAATTGGATGAGAAGGAGTATATCAGCTTGAAGCTGTGTTGTTGCGAACTGAAAAACCATTACGTAAGTTAAGCGGCGAGGTGTCACATGAAGACAGACATTCACAAGCTTAAGTTATTTAGCATATAGCTAAACTAGAGTACATTCAAGTAGCTCAATCTGGTTCTGAATGTTTCTAGCTGTGTCTTCATGATGCTATTACCAAAAACTTGGACAAGATCAAAAAGCCGCGGTCCTCTAATACGGACTCCTTGTATTAACGTACTACTACCTTCATCCTGTACAAATTCGCCGGTGTCCAGCAAGATGTCGGAGGACAGAGTAGCCCTCAACGGTTATGTTAAGAAGATTCGGCAAGTTTTTGTAAAAAGATGTTGATAAGAGTGGATTTCCATCTGCAGAAAAGTTGATACTGTTTGCATGTTGAACCAGTGGTGGTCAAGTTAAACTCATTTATACAGCCAAAATTTAAAACAAAATATTAATTTTTTTGCAAGTAGAAATCCACTCCAACCATCTAGTAATGCGAGTTTCTAAACTCAATATTAATTTCACGTTTCATTAAGTCACGTTGAACCTTTCAACAAATATTTTTTCATATCAGGACGGTAACGTATATGCGATGTATTGCGCGGCGTGAAGGGGTGGGGGGTGTTTATTGGTATTTGTTCTGCTCGACGGATTTCTTTCGTCGACGATTGTGCTTCCAAAAGAAATTCGCCAGGAAGAACTGAATATGCGACCCCCCCCCCCCTCCCCCCAAATAAAATATATCTCCTTCCAGACGGCCCTGTTTCATACCGTAAGTTTCGCCCTAATGACGATACCATACTTCAAATACGGCGTACAAACGATTATCACCGTGAATCTAATTCATTAACAAACTTCGTTGACATAACTACAAGTTCATCAGAGAATGTCCAACAGGCCTCGACTGAATACATATAGGGTTATAAAATTTGCAAATGCCATAAATTGTATATGCAGAAGACCATGCATTAGAATTTCAGCGGCTGTGCAACTAATAAAGCTTTCGAGATTTAAAAATACTTTTGCACGTACAGTACTATCAAAATAAAGATAGCATTTCGCTCTGTGCATGTTCTTGTTTTAATAGCATGCAGGAGGAAACGTATTTTCAAATCCCAGAAGCGTTAATAGTTACACAGCCAATGAAGTTCCAGGTATGATCTTGTGCATATATACCAATTATGGTATTTTTAGATTTTTTGCACAACCTACACAGTTTTTATGATCTCTGCAGCGATTAGAATGCATTTTAACTGCCAAGGGGAACAATATTTATGTTTTAGTTTCTTAATTATACACTCTTGGAAACTTTTATACGTAGCATAACAGAAATTATGCGACAAGTTTGCATATGAATATAGCCACAAGTTTTTGACTTAACAGTCGAGTACTGCGTCCCGTTCTGGGATAGTAATTGAGTCAGGAGACTTTTAATTAATCTTGTCTGTCCACTTGCCATAAGGTATCGGCTAAATCAGGACGCTCTTAATTTGTTAGCTTAAACTAGGATGTCTACTTTGAATACTAATAACATATATAAACACAACTGGACAGACATTCAGGTTTCATTATAACGTCAATCGCGGATATCTCCGTGACTGTTAAGAAATTTGAACTTTCCATCCAGCAAACCACCTTTGGTTGCTATTGCACGCGGAATAAACTAATCAATATCAGTTATTTTTGCTTAGCAATTAGTAATTCTCATGCACTTAAGATATATACAAACTGTATACACAGACTGGGTATCTCTGGGGAGAGCGAATACATTTGAAAAGTGTCATTTCCTAACATTTAAAAAAAGAAATGCTGCTAAATATGGTGCGAATTGCATACTTTTATAAAGTCACTCTCTCACAACGTATATAAGGCGTTTGCTGGGTGGATAAACTGCTTGTTTACCTATATAACAGGGGATTTTTGGTACATTACATAAATTCGGGAAGAAAAGATTACTTGGGGAGTAGAATGCACCATTCAGTGTTGGTCAACGTTCGCGCGCAGGAGGAGTGGATATCTTCATATCAATCCAAAAACGTATTTAGCCTGAATTTTCTGCACTAAAAGCATGCACCAATCTTTAGTCTCTAGCGGTTGCTTTTGACTTGAGAGTACCGTAGGCCATCATGGTCCTGGAGGATGGTACATCGCACGATTTATGATTACATCCTGTTTTATATCGTTTCCCAGAATTCATACCTCCTGTATGTTTGACTTGACCCAACACTGCTTGAGCAGACCTCAGGCATTATGACGTGAGATGCCTTTCCGTGACTATTAAGACCATTTTCTCTGCGAAAATAATTCAGACAGATGTTGAAGTTTTCACAAGGAGTTTTGGTCTTAATGGTGGTTATACGTCCAGGATCGTCTGACGGCATAATCCATAGGCAATCCGAATATCTACGATTATAAGTTTAATAGGGGCGAGGATTGGAATGGTGTGGGCTTGTAAAGTGGGAGAAATGTTATGATATATATATAAATTCTCGAAAACAATCGTATCTGTGCACTTTGTCTTTGTAGCAACCTTGTATAGCCACGCATGGCTAAAATTCAAACCGATATACCTCGTTTAGGAAAAGCCCTGATTTCATAGGCGTGGTATTTTCGCGAGAAATACGCCTATTTGCGAAAATACAGACATTTTAAAAGTAAACATAGCAATTTTTACCACTACCATTGCATGTCACGTTCGACAATTTTCGGTCGAACGGAAGCTTTGTCTCAATATCTCGTTCAATTGTGAGAACCACTGATCTGGTGAGAACTCGCCTGAAACGTTTCAGGCAAAAGATTCCGCCTTGTGCCCTCCCCCCCTTAGGATAGAGAGTGCCCCCTCTCCCCCCTTTCTCAAAAATTCATGAACAGGTTTACTCGAAAGTCGGACATCTTGTAGTAATTGGCCCGGTTTGGAAAGTTTCTTTTGTTACACTCTACTTTAATAACTTTATGCATATAGTTGCAACTAATCCTGAGTCTTAAAGAATTGTGAGGAAATAACTACGAAAAAAGAGCTTTATAAGTTTGAGAAAATGTGTTGGGGTTGGAGCAGTAATTTAGGAAATTCTATATTAAAATTTCATAGGCGTCTATTAGTTTTTATTTATTTATTTGCCAAAATTTTGGGAAAATCAAGGACTGCCCCCTTGATCTCCCTTTCGCACCCTTTCACTGCTTTCACTACTGCTGTTAAAGTTTGCAAACAATCCTAGAAGATTCCAACTGTGTCAGTGATCACAGAAACTATGACAGTTTAACCCGAGCCTAACATGGGAGGAAAGATTTTGATCATCACCTATCATAGGAGCTGGGGAACTCGCTGTTCTCGTTTATGGAAATTTATGCACAATGAAAGCACTGTAGTGCTTTGTATAAAAAGACAATTGATTACATGGCTGATATGACATGAAGTTTTGTAGTCGGGAAGAAGTCTGGTTAAATTTATTTCCTGTTACGCTTTTTACGTGTCAGGTATGATGATGTCATTGAAGACGTAACGCCTTGAGTAAATCAAGAGCAAAAAACAATCGGTTCTGCTTCTTAATGTAATGTGTTAATATCTGCTATATTTTACAATATTCAGGCTGATTCAATCACAAATAATGGAATAAGAGACTGAGAATAGCATGAGTCCAATTTGACGCGATTCGAGGACAAACGAGTCATTCTCAGACATCATTGATTAGCTACAATACGTCATTCGATTGGGCTCATTGGGGTAAGTATATAAATATAATTTTCTGTTGGGTAATTTTATCATGAATTAACTTTTAACAAAACCAGTAAGAGATTTATTGGTTTCATCTTTATTGCTTATATGTTGAGCTCTCATATTATTTTAAGTATTTGCTTCCAAATCTCTGCCTACAATAAATGTTCAACTCTATTTACATATGGAAAAATTTATACATACATTTACACAAAGAAATTCACACCAAGAGGGATGCTATAGAGATATAAATTTTGTTAAAAAGTGACAGTTAAATAAACTGTTATGTTTCGTAATGTTGACATTGCTTAACATAAACATTGCCCATAGTGTTGATAATTACCCACTGTCTTAACAATATACACATAAATGTGCATAGCTAAATTTAGTTAATTAAAATAAATAACCAAGGCTATTGATTGAAATGATTTGACCATATGCAACTACCTGAACCTCTCAGGTACTTATTATATTTTACTCAATGCAGTTCTATTTTCTTCATTCTCTTCTGTAAATAGACATTGTGCCCATCCCTTATTTGGAGCTTTAAATGTCGCCAATAAACATTTTGATTTGTGGATTTGACACAATTTAGGTAACCTAGTATCATATCGCTAAAAAATTCTTATATGTCTTTTAGTTGTGTTGTATGTGCAGTATTCATGAAGCATCCAACTGAAAAAAATTGTTTTTCCATAAGTGGAGGAAGGATGGTTATTGGTTAGGCTAACCGTATCACATGATCATTTTTTAAGCTACATTATGAGAACCCCATCTTTTCTGATCAAAACAAAATTTAGGTTTAATATCTTTGTGAATCAAAGTTTAAAGACTAGGTTCCTTTTCCATGGAACAAAGCTTTATTGATTAATTAAAACAAATCTTTAAATGTTCAATAGGTCTTGTTAACCTCCCTGTCTTGTCTGCAGAGATGTTTGTTTTTATATTGATTACACAATCAACGTTCAACCTGCCTGATATGCATGAACTCACGATCCTTCTCTTGAATTTCCGGATGGTTCATGATGTAAAGAAGTTCATTGGACGTACCACCTCTTTTTTGATTGTATAATAGTTAGAATGTAACAATATTAAATTTCCAACAATTATGCAAAAAAGAAGTTAAAGGCAGTATATCTCCTTCCTATGCCGTGAAATTTATCAATTCGAGTATGCATGCATATTGCAGATTGCTTTAATTCAGATACTTGTATGTTATACCACAGTATTATAATACTTTCTTATTAAGGCATCCTATGATAACACATCATATCTCTAAATGGCGCTGCAGTTGGTGACAATGAACGACGGTGGGTGATCGTTGGTATATGTCTAAACAAAGTTCTCACTCCAGCATTGAGAGAAGTTATTGGAAATGAAATACCAAAATGGTACCAAAGCCTACTCCCACCTCCTCACGAGATCGATAAGCAGACATTAGGAAAACATAAAAAGAATTTGGCACCATCTACATTAAAATTAAATTATGAAAGCATCAACAACAATCGTACAAACACAAGTCGTCATAAATGATTATGCTGTTAAAGATGCAGTATCTCTAGCGAAGTTGTTTTGAAACCATTCATGGCTAAGTTTAGTGGTTTTGATGACACTATGGATACGTCTGCAGCTTTGTCACTCGTCGCTGAGGCTCAACCTTTTCACGCTTCTGGGGCTAGTGGTATGGCGAGAAAAGTAAGATCAGATATTAGAAATCAGTGGGCGCATTGTAACTTTGCACACTGGACTGACGTCGTTTACCAAGCAGCTCTAAAAGATATGGAGACATTAATAAATCAAGTCAACCTTACACCTTCGAAAAGAAAGGAAATGCTTGATGATCTTGTTGACTGGAAAGAAAAAGGTACTGAACCAACTGAGTTCCATAATCACTAAGTCTAAGAAGCAAAACGTGTAGTTTAAAAACATATGAAAAAACTAAAATTAGCTAATAAGCAAAAAGTTTCGTTGTCTCGAACTGTTATTCTCTACCCTGTAAGATGGGAATTCAACTGATCCTCGAGATAACGAAGTTTTTTTTCGGTCGTTTCCTGTAGTATCCGATATGAATTACATTCTCGAGTGACTGCGAGCTATAGCGTAGCAAACGAGTTGCAAAAACATGACGAATTAACTTTATGTGTATAGACAGCAGTTTGACAAATACACGCTTTTTAAATCATGAAAATGCTTTAAACACGAAAATGACAAGTTTTTCATGGCCAGCTGAGAGCATCCATTGCGTGTTGATTTCGATATCCCATTATATTGTTTCAGGTCTGAAACTTTGTTTTGGCGAGCCAGTAGATCCTGAACTGCTTGAACTCGTCCACACTGAGGTTGCTGAACTTAAAGATTTGGTAAAATTTGTTGAAGAGAATACAGAGGATATTCTGGTAAATTCAATTAATAGAATTCACTGAAATTATATCCGTCGTGACCCGCGCGTTGTGCATGCCGAAGAACATTCCAGATAATATTTTTTGACTTGTGGTTAAAGTTGATATTTAAATAGGAAAAGTTGAAATGGAATAGTTTGCAGCACAATATAGAGTTTTGAGAAAGGAAGCAATAAAGCAATCACACTACATTTGATATAAACTACTCGAAATGCATGGAAGCAGTAACCCCTGGCCATTTCAGGTAAAACGTGTGATTGCATGAGCTATCCCAACCCAAGCCAAGGCATGCAGTCTTACATTTATTAATAATATGAAATCACTCAAATGAGTCGATAGCTAATATATTTATATTAGTTATCGCCCGAAACAAATTTAATCACAAAAGTGAAGAAAACCTTTTTGTTTTCAGCATTAAACTGCAAATACTTTAATTTGCAATAATTTTGGGTGAGCTACATGTGCACTTGAGATTTTCCGTTTACACTAATAATATATTCTTTGCGTACAGAACGCATTAGAAGCAGTCGAAAAATCTTTGAAAGATGAAATCCAAGAGTTAAAGGAAAGACAACTCCGTACTGAGAAAGATGTCGAGCAATTGAGAGCTAAACAGGACGATTTACAGATGACCATCTCGAAAAGAAACGAAAAAGAACCACGATATCTTTTCATGGCGCCTAAACAGAGTGTCTGGTTTAGTGGCCGAAAATCTGAACTCGGTTATCTTCGAGACGTACTCGAGAATAAGAGAAGATGTGGCGAAGAAAGAGTCCTTGTCGCTGCCATCTCTGGTCTTGGAGGATGCGGGAAAACAAGCCTTACTGCAGAATATATACACAAATGGAAAGGTTATTATCAAGGAGGTGTTTACTGGTTTTCCGCAGAAAGCGATGTCAAGTTCAAAGCCTCGGTCGATGAGATAGCCGCGCAATTCGATACACTTTATAACGATTCGTTCAATGTTACATTGTACAAGACCCTAGCAGTTTTTTCAAATATTACAAAACCATGGCTGGTGGTTGTTGACAATATGGATGAAGCTGATCTTTCACCAAATTTGGTTAATTTGGTATCAGGGCCGTGGCAAGAAAACGTCGCGTGTTTTGGTCATCTCATCATAACAACACGACGAACACCTCAGGATTTAGAAGAGAAATTATCTGGTATCGAAGAATCCAATTGCCTCAAACTCGAATGCTTTGGTAGTGAGGAGGCGAAAGAATTCGTCTTCAGAAGAACTAACATTACTCGTGATGAACAAAAAGGTAAGTTTATATAAAAATTTTACTACAATAGTTATGGTAATACGATGATTATCTATTCTGCGCCACGATCCACGAGCAAGTCCATGTAAGGGCTTTGTTCGCTCACCTATACAAGTGGAACTAAATAAAGAACATTTTATAAAAGCGGCCTGTACATTTTCGGCATAAATTTGAATAAATTGGGTGAAAAGTTGCAAAAGTAATTCATCGAAATTCGAAAAGGCAATTGAAAAAACGCCACTTTGTCAGTTCGAGCCTTTTATTTCCCTTGAGTTCTTAATTGTCTTTAATATCAGACGCAGTAAGATTTTAAGATTAATTTAGATTAGTACCGTGAAATTAAGCAACTTCAGACTGCTCTTCCCCTCATAACGTAGCAATATCAAATAAGAATTTTCTGCAACATATACTTAGCTCCAAAAGTACAAATTCATTCGAACAAATATCTGGCATTTGCTACATCTTTAATTCAACATAAAAGTTACGTCGGTGTAAACAACAAATTTACCTTAACACTATTTACTTTCCGTTACACAGAACTTTCCGCGGACTCGCTATGTCAAAAGCTTGGTGGCTTACCATTAGCATTAGAACAAGCTTGTGCATACATCAAGTATCTGGGATGCTCACTATCTGAGTACTTAGGGTCGTACGAGGAACATTCCCTCCAACTTCTAAACAAGAAGAAAGCTACCTCTTTTCATGGAACTTCCCCAGAACGATTAGCCGTTCGTACCACGTGGCATCTCAACTTTGAACATATCAAAAAAGATGAAAACGGGATCGTCGCCATTCGTTTTTTGAATGCTTCGGCGTTTTTGGATCGCAATGAAATTCAAAAAGACCTCATTAATGTAGGCGAACCCCGTGTTGACGAAAAATGTATTGTGATCACGTGAGCTCTGCTTTAGGTTCCCTCGAAGTCCTGAAACTCTTGACTGACTTTTCTCTTTTTAAGGAAACTCACGATTCTTCCCTCACAGTTCATCGTTTAGTCCAAGAGGTCATTCGAGAAAGTCTGACCTCGGAGGAGAAAGTTGAAAGCATTGTTGACGCAGCCCGTCTGTTACGTTTTGCCTTCTTACAATGCCCATCTCCTGATAAAATTTCAGAAAGTGTGGTAACTGAATATGGTGATCGATCATCCCTCTATCCAAATGATTCTTCTAAATTTTATAAATGGCATAAGTTGTGTTTACATGCACATGAAATTAGAAGGAATCTTGAACGTCTTTTGGAAGTCGTCCATGATGTTACCGGGAAAACCGTCTTTCTGCCAGAGATAGCGAGGGTTGTTTACCAATGTGCTTTGCATTTGAATGTCAATAATTTGAGTAGGCAGGCAAAAATTGTTGGAGACTTTGCCAATCGGATTTTTGACTGTAGTCGCCAAGAGATTTCGGAGAATGATTTGAGGGTTCTCTCTCCACATACGTTTCCTCTGTCAGAGTCTGTACGTAGGTTAATCAAATACTCCTGTGAGGCTCCCCCTGAAATAGAAAAGATCAATACTGTTATTAAGACCTCTGCTTATGATCCCATGAAAGCAGAAATCGATAATTTGCGATCTGAGGGTAATGACCTATTCATGAAAAGCAATTTCGAACAGGCTGTAACAGTATACTCTTCATGTATTGATAGAAGTATAGGGAAGAATTTTTTTGACCCTAGGTTATTTAGTAATCGTGCTTCTGCTTATCTCAGGTTAGAGCAGTTCAAAAATGCTCTGAGCGATGCTGAGGAATACATTAAGTATTCTCCTGATTGTTGGAGAGGCTACGCTAGGAAAGCCTTGGCTCTTCACGGCTTAAATGAACAAAATGCTGTATGTGCTGCAGCTTTGGCCTTTTATTATAACCCCAGTATCTTCGAGAAATACGAACCGTTCAAAACTTCATTTCCCAATATGAAAGAACGTATTCATATTTGTGATGACGTTCCTTCACTTGTTTCTTTGCTTTCTGCTCCGCTACATGATGGGATGTTGTTTGATAGCATGTGCAAAATCATTCTCCTCAAACCAGGCAAATATTGTCTCCTCGCCAAAGATTTCGAAAGTGATCGAATTCAAGATGAAAATATTCTCAATGTCAATATAAAGCGGTTGATAACACTTGATTTTTGCATTGTTGGTTTGGGTGATAGCTCGCCTTCACTCTCCTTCGATCGTAATTTAGGTCTGCTTTCCCGCAACGTTGTGGCTTATAACATCTCTTTTATATTTGATGTTGCAAACTGGGGTACCATGCAGGATTCTACAGTCAAGCTGTTGAACTGTTCGTACACATGCAATGATGCTTTTGTGTCAAAAGGATATCTCAGTGTGAAAAATTGTCTGTTTAACAATTGCAAAAATACTGCCCTGTTCATTGAAGGAGAAGCTGTTGTTGAAGACTCCGTCTTTTCTGGTAACAAGTTAGTTGGAATAGAAATCTTCGGTGGAAGTCTTTGCCTCAAAAACAGCAAACTTCACGGTAACCGATGGGGTTTATTTCTAAAGAATGGCAAATGTCGTATGACTTGTTGCCAAATTTATGATAACGAGAAAATTGGTATATGGGTCCAGGAAGGAAATGCAACATTTACACGTAATGAAATATTTCACAATGACTGTCATGGTGTATTTGTTCATAAAAAAGGTTCCGCGGTCATAGAGGAAAATGAAATATTTGAGAACAATTGGCTGGGTATTCGAGCGTTCAATGCTTGGTGCCATATTTCTCGGAACAGAATCTACCAAAACAAATGTGGCGGCATTCATGTGATGCCAGTAACAAAAGCGTCAGGTCTGCAGCAATCAATTATTGAGTCCAATCATATTTTTAGGAACGAGGGGCCTGGTATTGACCATGCCATAGGCTTCGATGATGAACTCGATAGTGCGATGCCGAATCTTTTTGAAGTCTTTTCCGCAGTTGGTGAATTCATGCTAGCGAAATGCAGTGACAATGAGCTGAAAAATAACATGGAGACAGGCAGCCATCCACCACTGAAGGAGTTCACTGACATTTGTTTTCGTTGTTACAAGAAAGGCCGTTGGAAGAAATGTGACAACTGTTTTATCGCAGGATACTGCAGCCCAGAATGCGAAAAAGATGACTTTGAAATCCACAAAAATTGTTGTGTTCGGCTATTGGAAAGATATAGCGTTTTGGTAAAAGTTTTTCCATTGTCATCCGGTCTCATTGGCGACAAGATGGTTTCAGACGAGGGTAATGAAAGGGGGATGCCATGGTCGGTCCTTGAGCCTTGTGGACGTGCACACGCGCGGCCGCCCAACAACGGTGAACGTTTCGTTGTTAAGATACAAGCCTGTGATGGTCCAAGACGATCTAATCGCGGACGTACCCTTCTTTCTATAGGAGATCGTAGCCTGTCTGTTAACGGAAGTTTGGCTATGGGTGACCATTGCGACGGCATTTATCGCATTGTAAGAGAGTGTGGCTCCAACTGTGAATGTTTAGGATGGAAGAAGAAGTTCTTTTGGGCTGTCCTTGCAGAAGATTACCGTACAGTGCGCGTATTTCTCACTGATTTACCAAGCTATCAACTTTGGTAACGACAAATATTATCTCTCACTCAGTTAAACAGAGAATCAAACACATCCATAAAGTAACGGTTCAAAATTGTGCACTAGGCATTTAATATGTATAGTTGATTGAATTGCTTTTAGCATGGTAGACTATATTTACAAAATATAATATATGCGATGAAACTGGGTGTTTTACACGTTGTGTCGAAGAAGCGAAACACCTAAAAATCCGCTATTATTCTGATTCTTAATGTGATTTAAATTTGAACTCGCTACTATTTACGCACAATATCCACTATAGGACAATCTTCGGGTTCTCCTACGTTGTACGCATTGGAATGTTTTTTAACTTCCATTAAAAATGTTTCGCGTGACAAGCAATTTTGGCCTAATTCAACAGATACTTAATACATTGCATCCCTTAATTTACTTTTACCTAGCTTCAACATGGCATTATTAGGACGATGAAGGATATTTGTGGTTTGTCTTTTTCGAGACACACTATCCACGCGGATTTATCCAAATAAAAGAGACTTATAGAAATTACCCTTGAGCCTGGTATTCATTTAGTCGTCACTGTCGTGATTCTCACGAATGTGAAATAGTCATGCGTAAATTTGTCCATATACTTCTTAATTCAATTCGGGCATTGTTTGACTACACACCTATACACACCCATTGTTTGACTACACACCCGGAAATGTTCTATATCACATGGCCAACGTGACATGTCACGGCAATGAAGTCTAAATGGAAACCAGGCATCATCGTGCCCAAGCACAAAGGGGGTTCCTAAGGTCTTTACATCCTGTATAATTTAGATATAACATAATATATATTTTTAAAACGTGAGGCAAAAAAACAATTTCTGAATAAACAAGATATCTTGAAAACATATAAATGATTTATGCTCACGACACGAAAGACACAAAATTGAAACTTAAGACGAATTTCAATTGTATTATGTATTTTATAAAGAAAGTGTTGATTTAGCGTTCCAGGTCTATATTTATTTTATATGCCCTATATAAAGTATAGCAACTGAGATATAATGATACTGAGGTTATGTCTTTAATCTTTCTGAATATATATTTGATTTTGAGCCCTTGCACATGCATGATCACTTATATAATGTAGCTGTGTTAAATATGTTTATAGCCTATTGTTAGCTAATAGCTTAACTATATAACATGTGCAGGATGACATCGAATGTCTCAAAACGCTTTATATACCTGGACACCTGCTGTGTACATGAAGCATGTCAAATGTGGAAAAAATATTACTAAACTGTTGCCAAATGTGAAGTTTGCGCTGGATGCATGCTCGCATCTCATTAATCAAAGAACCGATATCTATACGCGTTTCCCTTATCACACGACGAAATGATAAACAAAGTTATGAACGAGTACTGTTTAGACGACTAACTGGCAAATTTAGAAAGAGGCTAAAGTAATTAAGTGCAGTAAGTGACATCTTAGAAGTCATTATTTCGAAAATATATTAGTTTGTCAACTAGTAACCAACATCGTTCCTGGGGCATTTGCTTCCAGGGTAAGACAGCTGTGAAAATAGCTGCATCTTTATTCACAATGTTTTTTGCAACGTACTGTATCCTATATTCCTATTGGCCAGTAGAATACTCGTAATTTATGAGATTCATCATATTCATGCACGTGGAATGGAAAGAAACAAACTGTTTGGCAAGAATTGATGATATTCGCCGTCGCCTTTGTTTATAGAATATATTAGAATAAATTTCTTAGTTTATAAAACCTAATTAATATAATTCCTAAGAAGGAATTTCGTTCTAAACTATAATCAGCCAAATTGTATACATTTTTCAGGCTAAGCCAATAAAATTGCCTACTTTTTTAATACTTCATGTAGGGTAAATAATGTACCTCTTTCCTGGAAGTTGCTAAAACTTACGCTTTTGATTGGGTTACTGAAAATGTAGGCAAATTTGCAGATTGGTCCCAAATAAAATCTAATCTACTCGAATCTAATGAGATATAATAAACCAATCCAAAGTTTTCTTGAACAAAACCCAATCACTTTTTAAGTACATGTATTTGATTTTTGTGAATACAATTTTAATTCATATATTACTACGTAGAAGCTTTTTAAAAAAAATTAGTCAGAACGTAAATCGTGCTTTAGAATAATCATGTTCAATGTTCAATGTACTTTCAATGAATATTTACTGCTGAGACGTGTTTACTGCATAAGACATTTTACTTTTAATTATCACAATTCGCTTTCAGTGCTACATGATTTGATAATGAACTGGCCCAAACCGTCTGAAAAAATACTACCAGGGCTCGTTACAATTGAATAAATTCATCCGGGTCTTGGGATTCAGTATATGTAATGTATATCGTGGCTCAGAGTACTATATAACTGATTATACTGTTTATGCAAGATTCAACTTTCTTTTCCCATTCAGTGCTACAGTATATAATATGGTAACTAATATGCTATATATTAATTAATTTTGTCCCGATAACATCATACCGAACATAAAGTCTGTGAAGATTTCTAATCTCCGAGACCTGACCGAATATGCCATATCTGTCATCTCAGTGCATTTTAACATTTTAAGGCTTAGAAAGTTGTTCAATTTTAGCAAAACTTGGTAGCCTTTGTGTGCACCGTTAATCATTCAGTCTCAGTTTCGTTCTAATTCCCCAATCATTAAACTTAACTGAAGTTCATTCCAAATCTCATATCGGTTGGTTTCCATGTTAACTTGTAGTCATTATACGGAATTACGTTTTTACGCCTGTCGTGAATTCTTTTGCCTTTTCGGTGCCACTTCTCTGCTTGTGTCAGTTGACTTCGGCCTCCGTCTTGCTTGTTTCTATATCTTTCAAATCATCGGCAACAGCTTTCATCTCCTCGAATTCCTTCTTGTGCTTTTCTACATCTACTCGTAATTCATTCATTCTTTCTGAGGTTGGGGGAAGCGCTTAACTAAAGCATTGAGAGAAAATGTTGGGTAAAATGTTTGCTGCCCTTGTTGAGAGGTTACTGTAAGGTACTTTGGTTGTTGCTGCAGCTCGAACCTATGCACTTCATTTTCAGCTCTATCCAGATGTCTTTGAGCTTCGTTCAAACGTGCTTGAGCCTTCTCCTTAGCAATTCCTGCCTTTTCCGCATCATCGCCAAAAGTTTTGATCACAAACAAAGCAGTTTTTATCGGCTTTTCTAGGCCATAACTTCTAACCTTGGCCAACGTTAGCCTGACATCAACTAGTTGAACTCCTTCTAGTGTTGCAGGATCATAAGTCGTCATAGCACACACGTTGTCCAGCATTTCTTCATCATTGCACAATGGTTATCTTTGTCCTTTATCCATCGTCCTCGAATACTGTTGTTTGCCTTGCCAACATAGACTTGTGTTTTATAAATGTTCTCTCTTTCGTTGCTAGGGTGGAATTCCTCATCGTCAAGAACTGCCCAATAAAGAGTACGTTTATCCAAGCAAGATGCCATGCCTTCGTCTATTTCCTTCTGTTCATTTGCATTTTTTGTAATGAACTTGCGAATCGATGGGTTAATCCAGAAAAGATCATTCTCATATGTCTTCGTCGTCTGCCTGCCATGATGCCCATCCATTGGCAGTCCTTACATACACAATGGGACATAAATTCTCTTTGATAATTCTTCGCATATAAGCTACACTGGAAACTTTTATACGTAGCATAGCAGAAACTATGCGACAAGTTTGCATATGAATATAGCCACAAGTTTTTGACTTAACAACTTGTGTACTGCGTCCCGTTCTGGGATAGTAATTGTGTCAGCCCACTTGCCATAGGGTATCGGCTAAGTCGGGACGCTCTTAATTTTTTAGCTTTAAACTAGGATTTATCTACTTTGAATACTGATAACATATATAAGCACAACTGGACAGACATTCAGTAATTTCAGTTTTCATTATAACGTCAATCGCGGTTATCTCCGTGACTGTTAAGAAATTTGAACTTTCCATCCAGCAAACCACCTTTGGTTGCTATTGCACGCGGAATAAACTAATCAATATCAGTTATTTTTGCTTAGCAATTAGCAATTCTCATGCACTTAACATATATACAAAACTGTATACACAGACTTGCAAATGAGAATACTATTTAAATTTTAAAAAACGCAAAAACGAGAAGTTTACCCACTTAGATTTCGTTTTTGGGTATATTTTTACGTGTTATAAGTACGAGTATTTTCATATTTAAGTTTTTGTATACAGTTCGTATATGCGAAAATATGCCTATAGGAAATATACTAGACGTGAACTATATGGCGTGAACTGAAGCTAGAAACCTGTGGTTTCCACTTTACATTATACGTGCGCATGTTATCACTAAAGTAAATAATTCAATGAAAAAAGCTAAAAAACCTCCTGGGTTATTCAATATTCCAACTTCTCCGTTAAAGAACGCTTCAAATAAAAAGCTTTAAATAAACCTCGTCTCCTGGGTATCTCTGGGGAGAGCGAATACATTTGAAAAGTGTCATTTCCTAATATTTAAAAAAGGAAATGCTGCTAAATATGGTGCGAATTACATACTTTGATAAAGTCACTCTCTCATAACGTATAGAAGGCGTTTGCTGGGTGGATAAACTGCTTGTTTACCTATATAACAGGGGATTTTTTGTACATTACATAAATTCAGGAAAAAAATATTACTTGGGGAGTAGAATGCACCATTCAGTGTTGGCCAACGTTCGCGCGCAGGAGGAGTGGATATCTTCATATCAATCCAAAAACGTATTTAGCGTGAATTTTCTGCACTAAAAGCATGCACCAATCTTTAGTCTCTAGAGGTTGTTTTTGACTTGAGAGCACCGTAGGCCATCATGGTCCTGGAGAATGGTATGTCGTACGATTTATGATTACATCCTGTTTTATACCGTTTCCCAGAACATACCTCCTGTATGTTTGACTTGACCCAACACTGCTTGAGCAGATCTTAGCCTTAGGCATTATGACGTGAGATGCCTTCCCGTGACAATTAAGATCATTTTCTCTGCGAAAATAATTCAGACAGACGTTGCCGTTTTCACAAGGAGTGTTGGTCTTAATGGTTTTACGTCTAGGATCGTTTGACGGCATAATCCATATGGCAATCCGCATATCTATGATTATAACTTTAATACGGGCGAGGATTGGAATGGTGTGGGCTTGTAAAGTGGGAGAAATGTTATGGTATATATAAATTCTCGAAAACAATTGTATCTGCGCACTTTGTCTTTGTAGCAACCTTGTATAGCCATGCATGGCTAAAATCCAAACCGATATACCTCGTTTAGGAAAAGCCCTGATTTCATGGGTGTGGAATTTTCGCGAGAAATACATATATTAACGAAAATACAGACATTTGAAAAGTAAACATAGCAATTTTTACCACTACCGTTGCGTGTCACGTTCGTTGGGTTCTCTTGGCAAATGTCGAACTAATTTCACCTAATTGAACATGTACATTAGTGTACACGCGTTAGCCGTCATGTTTTTGAACAACAGGATTCACTAAGATACGGATGCTTGAATTAGGGCAATTGTACATTATAGCATTCATAACTATTCGCATATTTGCATCTCTCATGCAGAGAAGAAAGTCGCAGCCAAAATTGCAAGTGTAAAGCCTGTTCTCTGTTACGCGAAGAATCGATTCCATCTCTTTTTAACTATCAACTGGTTCCTTGGGAGTTTTTAATTGGCAAAGCTTGGTATAATTTTTCGGTCGAACGGAAACTTTGGCTCAATATCTCGTTTCAGGCGAAAGATTCCGCCTGGTGCCCCCCCCCCCCCTTAGGATCGGATCGCAAAAATTCATGAACAGGTTTACTCGAAAGCCTAACATGGGAGGAAAGATTTTGATCATCACCTATCATAGGAGCTGGGGAACTCGCTGTTCTCGTTTATGGAAATTTATGCACAATGAAAACATTGTAGTGCTTTGTATAAAAAGACAATTGATTACATGGCTGATATGACATGAAGTTTTTAGTCGGGAAGAAGTCTGGTTAAATTTATTTCCTGTACGCTTTTTACGTGTCAGGTATGATGATGTCATTGAACTTGAAGACGTAACGCCTTAAGTAAATCAAGATCAAAAAACAATCGGCTCTGCGTTTTAATGTAATGTGTTAATATCTGCTATATTTTATAATATTCAGGCTTATTCAATCACAAATAATGGAATAAGAGACTGAGAATAGCATGTGTCCAATTTGATGCGATTCGAGGACAAACGAGTCATTCTCGGACATCATTGATCAACTACAGTACAATGTCATTCGATTGGGCTTATTGGGGTAAGTATATAAATATAATTTTCTGTTGGGTAATTTTATCATGAATTAACTTTTAACAAAGCCAGTAAGAGATTTATTGGTTTCATCTTTATTGCTTATATGTTGAGCTCTCATATTATTTTAAGTATTTGTTTCCAAATCTCTGGCTACAATAAATGTTCAACTCTATTTACATATGGAAAAATTTATACATACATTTACACAAAGAAATTCACACCAAGAGGGGTGCTATAGAAATATAAATGTTGTTAAAAAGTGACAGTTAGATAAACTGTTATGTTTCGTAATGTTGACATTGCCCAACATAAACATTGCCTATAGACTGTTGATAATTACCCACTGTCTTAACAATATACACATATATGTACATAGCTAAATTTAGTTAATTAAATTAAATAACCAAGGCTATTGATTGAAATGATTTGACCATATGCAACTTAATGAACCCCCTGTCTCAGGTACTTATTATATTTTACTCAATGCAGTTCTATTTTCTTCATTCTCTTCTGTAAATAGACATTGTGCCCATTCCTTATTTGGAGCTTTTAATGTCGCCAATAAACATGTTGATTTGTCGATTTGATACAATTTAGGTAACCTAGTATTATATCGCTAAAAAATTCTTATATGTCTTTCAGTTGTGTTGTATGTGCAGTATTCATGAAGCATCCAA